TCAGTGACAAACTTCAAATTAGACAACTGTAAAATATTTTTACGAATATCCCCCCTTCAGATCCCGAATGACAGGGAGAACTACTGCAAAATGCCTAGGTATTTATAAGCATGTGTGTCATTATTCACGACCATTTAAACATGCACAAGATGGCTGTGGATTGGGCCACTACAAAGCAAAATATTTTATGAATAAAAATCTGAATAAAAAATTCACTTTGATGAAAATTTGCAATGCACATATGCAGATTATTAAGATTTTTTGATCAAACTTGTGATTCAAGGATGAATCATGGTGGTGTTATTTTGACTTGCAGATAAAACAGCGGTCTTGACCATGGAAACATTCCTCATCTCCTTCATAAAAGAAGTTTCATTACCGACTTTCTGGACCAAACTTGATAACATCAGTTTTGAGACGCACTACTTTCTGCTCAAAGGGCAGACCATTAACGCACAGTACTACAAAAAAAATTTTTCATTAGCCTAACAAACTTGAATGCAATGTTTCCTTTCTTCAAGATAATGTTCTATGTCTCACTGCTGAGACCTCATTACCTACATTCCTATGGCTTTGAACTGATCCAATATCATCCCTATTCACTTAATTTCTATTTCCTAACATGAAGATACTTATGAAGAGTAAGCATTTCCACACAGACAAGGTTTGCTATGACAGTTATAAACGCCTACATACACACCCAGACAGAAAACTTTTTTTTAAGTGGGTTAGGAGAATTGAAACACAAGTGAAAAAAGTGAGAAAAGTGTATTCATCTACAAGAGGACGTATGTCAGCTTGCTACATCTTCTGTATTAGGCCCACGTTTGCTCCAAAATCTTCATCATTACTGGTGCATAGAATCTTTTCAAATAAAAATTAATATATCCACTTGCTTTTAGTTAATCACCAATACTCAGCTGTTAGTGGACTTTTCCATTTTATTCTCTTGTCAAGTTTTGAAAAAATTTAATAAAAAAGAAAGGAAGGAAGAAAATATCCATTTTTAAACAAAAAATTACCTGAGAAAAAAAAAAAAAAATGCAATGTTCAGACTTATTAAATGAAATGCTAATACTATCTCGAAACAGGGATATGGGATTACTGGATGCACCAAATTATTATTTACCTTTTATTGCATGTTCGGTAACCGAAACGGTAAAATTTTGCATATTTCTTGGTAATAGCATAACTGCCAACTCTAAAATATGGAAAAAGGAATTTCTGGAAAGATTTTAGGCTGCACAGCAATGCTATTTCAAAAGAACTCAAACTGACTTAAATTCATTTTATAATGAATGATTGATTCGTTCAGGTTGTTAAAATATTCACAATATGATTCTGACAAATATCAGTATTTAATTAGATGTTCTAAATTTCATGCTCTTTGACTAATTTCATTTCATAATTTCTCACACTTCTAATGCTAAAAGAATCTTGAGTACGAAATCAAAACTTTAATTTATCAAATTACTTACATGATATGAATAAAATAAATAATTAAATGTGCATACTATGTGGATAAAATTAATAAAGCATCATGTATAGATGTAAAAACAAATACAAATATTAATTGTTAAGCATTGGATGAATCTTCATATAAAGTTCTGCAGATGTCTACAGTACATTAAGATGATTCAGATCAAATGTAATTTATTAAGAAAAACTATACTGAAAATCATTAGCAGTGGGAAATTGAATTTACGCAATTTAAGTTTCACAATTCAATAACATTCATTTATTGCTGGGAAACATTTTCCATAGCAAAGGCTAAAAATTTAAAAACTAGATGATTTGTTGATCTACAAGGAGATTCAGAGTTATCAGTTAGGTCACAACTATTCAAATCATTTCAGGTAAAAGGACTGCAGAGTATGCTAAATTTTCTCCATAAATATGTGTTAACAAGTAGTCAGCTACTTCAGAGCTCATTCATAACACTTGCAACAGAGTAAAAGAATTCAATAAAATCAGATACTATTACATTTCCTGGTACAGTGGCATTATCCCTTAACGGGTTATGGATGTAAATTCCATATAGAAGGATGAATTTCCAATTTGCTACACATGAAGCTTTCTGAATGCTCTTGATGTATCTAATTTTGAGTAGGATGTATATTGGAAGAAATTGAATCAAAGTATGATGACCATTAACTTAGAAGCCAAAGTACAAAAAACCAGCGTTATATTTTCAAATTTACATAGGACAAGTTTCGATGGTTTTACCAAACCAACATCCTCAGCTGCAAAAATGTAAATGAACAAGGTAAGATATAATGATTAGATAAGATAAGAAAGCCTGGACAGGAGACAAGCTACTCGCACCATCTGTTAATGAAACCAGAACTACAACATAATTTCTTTAAAGGCTGAAGGCAAATATGGATTGGAATTAGGGTCGTTAACTAGAACAGAAAGATTTTTTTGAATGTCAAATGCCTCTAGAAAAATCCAGTTCACCAATGGAAGATGTTTTTTGAATAATTTTGTCAGCAGAAAAATTGAAAGTGTGATTTTCGGACCAACGATGTTGGGCAACAGAAGACTTCTGTGTTTCTCTTTTTTCTAACATATACCTCATGTTCCTTAACTTGAAATTTTAAGGCTCTCTTAGTTTGGCTAATGTTAATTAAACCACACCGGCAAGAAATCCTCTAAATACCCCAGGAATTCATATCCGGAATTGGGTCCTCGAGTATGGAACTCAGAATTTTATTGATGGGAGAATAAATGACCCGAAAGTTAAATTTCTGCAAAATATGTGCAACTTTTTAGGTAATTGGTGGAAAGAAGGGAATGACAACAGAATTTTTATAAACAGAGTGCAAAAAGGCACACCAAAAGGCACACTCTAAAACAAGAGTGTGCCTTTTACGAGTGTGCCTTTTGCTGAGTTAAAATGAAGAATTTTTTAACTGCTTGATTAATAATGTTGGGTGAAAAGCCCGTGTCAATAGCTGTTGCTTTTAAACAATTTAGCTCTTCATCAAGGGATAATTTGAAGGAGCAAACTTGAAGAGCATAGGAATAAAATGAAGCTAACTTTTGCTTAGTCGGATGACATGATTTGAAGTGTGGTGGAAGGCAAACCAATGAAGGTTTATGATAAACCGTAGTACTGAAGCTGGATGTGTTACGTGTGACCAGAATGTCCAGAAATGGAACAGAATAGCAAGTCTCAAGTTCAAAAATGAACCGAATAGCAGGATTAATGGAATTTCATTGTTGAAAGAACTTTATTTAAATCATCTTTATTACCTTCAAACAGGGTAAAAGTATCATCTACGTAGCAGAACCATACCAAGAAGTTTAAAGTTTCAAACAATTTTGATTCATAATAATGCACGTAGATATCAGCCAGGATGGGACTGAGGGGGCTTTCCATGGCTTATCCCTCAGTTTGCTTGTAATATTTATTTTGGAAAACAAAATGTGTTTGTTTGCTCAAAGTGCAAGGATTCATTACCCAAAAAAAGGACATTATGATGTTAATTTTGCATAGTTTAATAATACATGGATGAAATACACTGAAGGCCTCCCCCCCCAAAAAAAAACTGGTTAGGCGTATGTATAGAAATTACAGATACAGAACCAATCACAGCAAAGCGTAGCAGTCGGCAGCGCATATATAAGACAATAAGTGTTTGGCAAAGTTGTTAGATTAGTTACTGCTGATAAAAGTGCAGGTTATTAAGATTTAAATGAGTTTAAATATGGTATTATAGTCGGCGCATGAGAGGTGAGACAGCATCTCTGAGGTAGCAATAAAATTTGGATTTTTGCATAATTGCTGACAAGAATCATTAAACATGACAAGTGCACAACCCTTCCTCAAACTGCTGTAGATTTCAGTGCTGGGGCATCAGCAAGTATCAGCATGCAAACCATTCAATGGTCCACTATTGACATGGGCTTTCAGAGCCAAACAACCACTCACGTATCGTTGTTGCCTGTATGGCATAAAGCATTATGCCTCACCTAGGCCCGCGAACACTGCCGGTGGACTGTTGATGACTAGAAACACACTGCCTGGTCTGACAAGTCTCAGTTTCAATGGTATCAGGCAGCTGGATGTGCATAGGTATGGAGACAACCTCATAAAGCCATGTGTTAACCTTACACGTCAACAGGGGACTGTTGCAGCTGGTGAAGGCTCTGTCATGGTATGGGGGGTGTGCAGTTGGCATTATATATCTAGATACGACTCTGATATCTAGATATGACTTTGTTAGGTGACTGATACATAAGCATCCTGTCCAATCACCTGCATCCATTCATGTCCATTGTGCATTCTGACAGACTTGGGCATTTCCATTAGGACAATGCGACAACTCGCACATCTACCGATTTGCTTCAGGAACATTCTTTTGACGTTAGACACGTCAATCGGCCACTTAGTTCCCATTATTGAACATATTTGAGATACCTTGCAATGTGCTGTTGAGAAAATATCTCCAGCACCTCACATACGATATGTGGACTGCCCTAAAGAATTCATGGTATAAACACCTTCAGACATTAGTCAAGTCCGTGCCTCGCAGGGAACCTACCCACATGATATTAGGCAGATATTAGTCCCCCCCCTTTTTTTTTTTGGCTCTTCAGTGTATATAGATTCATATTTTATTAATCTAAATCTCTATTTTCATCAATATATTAAAAACATCACAAATCATTTAAAATTAAAAACACTTATGCATAATGCAGTTATGCTAGAACTGAGTCCAGTAATCCAAACACTAAACTTAACAGCATATCACATTGCAGTTGAAATGTGAAAATTCTGTTTATAATTTTAGAAAACTTAGCCTAAATTTTCATTACAATGATCACTTGTGCTAATTTGAAAAATACATTTCTTAATTCATGTTTCAGGTAACACCTATTATATACTTTTATACGACTCCTAACATTCTTTTCTAAGATATTCTTATTTGAGAAAACTAAGATATGTAGTTAACATCCTACGCTATCTTAAACTACCATAAAAAATAACTTACAGCAAGAGCTACAGTATCACGATATACATCTAATTTCTGCCAACTTGTTGGAATTCCCAAATTATCAAGAAATGATATAAGTATTTCTAAATCAGAGTCAACTTTAGTGAACAGGCCATTAAAACCCATCAGTAACATCTGACCTTGATTTAAACCTAAAACAGCAAATATGAAAATATATAAATCATAGCATAAAAGAGAAAATAATATTTTAAGTGTAACATTGAAAATTATAAATTAAAAAAATTCTTCTGGCACCTTTCAGTAAAAGTCATAGTATGTCAAAATACAAAATAACCCTCAAAATAAGCAATCTGCTAACTGATAAAAATCTGTCAATTGTTTATTCTCAAATTTCTTAGATGTTAATTTAAAAAAAAAATATTATTCCAGTTTTAATAAATACCTTTGATACACAGAGCAACAAAGAACTAACCTGATATTTGGGGTTCTGCTCTCTGCATTAATGATTCAAATTCATTTCTAAGTTTCTTCACAGTATCTAAAACCCTACTTTCACCAACCTTTACAGGAATAAAAATATTTAAATAAGATATCACACAAAATATAATTCTTAAATAATTTTCATTTCAGGTAAGATATGATTTCTAAAAACAAAAATTTAAGAACTGCTACAACAATTCTGTTACCAGCTGTTTAATCTAAAAATTATGTATCATTTTGAAGCAAAACTAGAGTAAAAAAATCATTTCTTTTTAATTCCTCTGCTCTTAAAATATATGCTGATAAATGTGAAAGAATAAAACTGAAGATTAAATCACACATTTCAAATAACTTCCCACAGAGAAGAGTTAACATACCTGAGCTTTTAAAATAAGATTAGTAATATTGGATTCCAAGTCAGCTATCAGCTTCTCCAAAGGTACACCACAACGCGCAATAATTCTATCCAATTTTGCTACCATTTCTATTACCGAAGGATCAAGTGCTGTCCGTATTGCCTCAGGTAATATGATATTTTGAAAATGTAAGCTCAGATCCTAAGAAATGGAATGAAGGCTAAGTTAAAAGGGGAAAAGAATTATACAGTACAAAGTCTGTAATCCGGACGTCCATTACGCGGAATGATCTATAATCCGGACCTCAAAGCCACAAACTTAAGCATGCGTGTAAAGCGTTTACCCGTGCGAGCTTCCGATAGTGAAGGAAGTAACAGAGATGAAACAAAAACGAAAAAATTTCAATTGACAAGTTAGTCGGTATTCTCGCCACAGCAATTACAGGATTTGAACAGTGGAACTTTGTAACTCAACAAGAAATTATGTCAATTTATAGAATTAAAGAGAAAGTATTAGCACAAAAACCAAAGCAACTTGCATTGAAAGAAATGTTTAATAAAGTAAACAAATAAATATTAGGCTTCTTTATACCCTTTAGATTATAATTGCTCTTTATTTCATAAATCATGGTTTCATATTTTTAATTGCATAATTTTTGCGTGCCATCTTACCAGATTTAAATTATCTGGAAAAACCCCTAATCTGGAATTGCCAAAGTCCCGATGAGTCCGGATTATGGACTTTGTACTGTATCACATATGTAACATATTTAGCAACAACACAATACAGAAAGCTAAGGAACATTATAATTATTATAAAATTGCTAAAAGGATTTTGGTATTTTTCTGTTAAATCAGCCATATGTTTAAAATCTTAACTTGACTAACAAGTGTCATCAAAGACTTTATTGCTAAGAGGCCATGTTGCCAAAATGGATTAAAATAAGTATTAGTTAACCTTTTCCTCTTTCAAGGGATATAAACGGTATTTTCAGGCATGATTCAAAGAGCTGTGTTTTTTGTTATGGTGATATTTTAAAAAGGGAGGACTATAGCTTATTCTACAGTTTCTCATATTAAAATATGAACTAAATCTCATGTTGATATGAAAAAAAAAAGGTCATTTCTAATCAATATAAAAATATTTCATTTATTCTCAAGTATTGGTAAATTTAAGAATATTTCTTCATTGTGCGCTTTATAGAATGACAGAAGCAGAAGTGTAATTATTGAACAAAATCTGAAATAGGTGAAGTATCAGTCACCAAATTAACAGAAAAGTAATGAAATATCTATCACATAAAGCTTCCCAATAGACAACAAACTGGTTTTAAATTTTAGCTGATGCATCATAACTGTAAGAAAATTGTACTTTCTTTTTAAAGCTGCTATGGCAAAAGTCTTTGACAACACTTGAAATTTACACATTAGAGTTTGGGCAATTATATTTGCTATACTTCGGCAAGTGAATGATATAGCTCTTTTAATAAGGAAGCAATAAGAAAACACCAGTAGATTAGACCATTCTTGGTTCCAATCCATTCTTTCAGTTCAACACATTTTCCTACAGGATGATTAATGTAAAACTAATCAAATAAAAGTTTCTTCTATTTAAAAAAAAAAAAAAAAAAAGGTTGCAACTTATATTAAATGCAAATAAAATAGTACCCAATATCATACCTACATCGAATACAAATGATGAATACATGAAAAAAATTGGTCTCTTTTAGTATTTCAGAGAAAGTATTAAAGCACAGCAGTGAATTAAGAAAAGGTTTAAGAGAAAACATATCAGACATGTTTGAAAGAACAACAACAACAACAAAAAAGAGTTTCTAATGCAAGGAAATGAGAATGTGTTGGACATTTATTTATTTTTTTATTTATCAATTTATTTTTATATTTTATTTATTTTTTATAGAAAAGGACATGACAGAAATTTGCATATTAATAAATCAGAAGCTTGCAATTTTTCCTGGAAGGTGCAGAGAAAAAATCCTAATTTTGTACTGTTTGCCAATATATCTGGCTGTAATCAAAAAGCAACTGCATACTCTCATATTTGAAAATGGAAAAGAGACCTACTACACAATAGCATTATGGATAACAGATTTTTTGTCATCATATTTCAGAAGTAAAATTTATATTAAATATGTTTAAATTTATGTTTCTTCTCCTAATTAATCAATATTTGAATTTATTATTTCATATCATTAGCAACAAATCTTAGCAAAAGCAAATGACAGCATATGAAAGAAAGTCTCCATTGAAAACCTTGCTAAAGTAAATTACCAAATTTATGAATTGCATGCAAGATAAATTATCAGTGTTCTGTAATTTTATGCACTCAACTGGTTTAAATGAAAAAAAGTCCCAGAAACAGAATTACTTATTGATTTCACAATATCTGCATAAATAACACTTACTTCTAAAGCATTAAAAACAAAATGAGCAAGTTTTACTCCTTGCAAACCAGCTTTAAGTTCCACATTTTCAACCTGAAACATATTTTCATGTATTTTTAAAATGATATAACTTTTTACAAAATTATAATTTATGCTTACACATCACACAAAATTCAAAATAAGAAAATGTGTTAAATCATTTTAACAGATTAATGAGAAAAGATGGGAGACATACCACATGACTATCTAACAAAAGCTGCACATATTGAGCTATATTTGCACATGTGCTGTAAATCTCATCCAAGAACCAGTCACCATTCCATGACGTCAAATCAACCAGTCTATCACCTGAAGCTAAAGATTTAATATATTGAATAATGATTTAAATAATCTATATTTTAAAATCATGGGAAATCAATTCATGCTGTTATTTTATTACACAGTTGATTAATATCTTTAAACAAAAAGAAAGTGCAAATTAAAATCTGGAAGAAAGTAAAGGGAAAAAACATTTTTTATTATCACTATTTTCTTATGGCAACACTGTCACTGAGACATTTTAATATTAACTGATTAAATATAAAATGGCAGCAGTCTAAGCTGAAACTCAAAAATATTTAAACTTCAAACATGACGAACATCAGAAAAGCTATTAATCTAGATTTGGGCAATATATTATCAGATAATACTCTACTCTCTACTGTATAAACTAGTAGAGAGCACTATTTTGGGGAATTTTTACTAAATTTAATTAATTTTGTGACAATGTTAACTGCCCATAAAATGCACTGTCCTATCAGATATTGCTATATAAAATGCATGCAGATATGGGAATTAGAATGAGTAAGACTGCAAATGTAACTTAAAGACAGCAAGTTTTTCCTCTTTCAATCGATATTATACCATCTATATTATTTCCTAAAACTAAGCAACAAAACATTGGTCAAAACAGCACAGTTAAATATTAAGATACTTTCTTAAATATGATAAGCATTCAATAATTTTTTAAATAATCTTTTCAGGCAATAAATCTGAAATAACAAACTAAACAGACTAATTTATTTTCTGCTAATCAAACTTAGAAGATCCACAATTTAATTTCTGTTTCGCTGAAAAGAGTTAAACATAGCAGGCACCTGCAAGGCATCTATAGAAGAATAATCAATTAAATGTCCACTAATTTAAATATGTGACAAATGCAGACTGAAGATTAAATGTCTACATATTCTACTAAATATTATAAAACTATTTAAAAAAATTACTATGAAGAGTTGCCAAAAACATAATTCAGAGCATCATAATTTCTGCTTAAATGTTGTTCATTAGAAATGTTCTTCCAAAATGCACTTTACCACACATATAATAATTATAACACTATAATCTTGCATAATCAAGATGCACAATTTCTCCTCTGACATTTCAATGCCTGTAAACAGAGCAAGTTTCTATATGAAAAGTGCCATGATACCTACGTTTATAGTGAACCGATGCAAAATACCATTTTCGAGACTTGTAGCCCTTCAAGGCTAACACTTTTTTGGGCTAAAAATCAGAGAGCTTTCATATTTTATATTATGCTCAAAAGGCTTTTTACCATTTTGTGCATTACCTTAATTTATTAAATATGATGTTCATGTTTATTAAATATTTCAATTATTTTAAGTTTCTTTTCTCTGGACGGTTCTGCTGGTTTATTGTGTTAAGTATGCTTAAATGTGCATTGTTGAATATATAATATGTAAGTGCTTTTCACTGTGAAATATCCTTTTAGCCATACTTGCTACTTTAATATTATTTTTTAAAAAAATCTAAAAGCTTTCAGAATTTATATTATGCCCACAGGCGTGTTTTTTAACGTTTTGTGTGTTACCTTTATTTATTAAATATCATGTTCCTAGCACTTAAATCATAAAATTCAATTCAACAGCAATATCAAAAAATATTCAAAAAAAGCATATCTTCAGAATGTCTAATAGATAGTCTCATGCATTGGAGATAATTTCCCCCTCCCCAACAGTGTTACCAGTCCTCCCTTTGAAATCATCGAGTTTGTTAATCGAAAATTCATTAAAGTTTACAGAATATGAAACAGATAATAAAACAAATTTGAAATTCAATTATCACACTGATGACAATGATGATACTTTTGGAGCATTGGAAGGTGGTATTTACAGGGATTTTAATAGGATATATTTATTTGTTTATATATATATTTGACACAAGCCAAAAATTATACACGCTGTTTTTTTTATAGTTTATATTTTTATTAACGTGTTTGTGATTGGATATTTCTGCCATATACAATCATTTGAGGTAAGTCAAAAATTAAGATAATTCTAGATTTGATTATTTTATGAAATTTTTATGGAAATTAAAATCTTAAAGTTTAAAATTAATTCTGATAACTACCTGAGTGCTCATCTTCACAATGTACTATAACAACAAATTTATTGAAAACAGATGGCATTTTCTAATAAATAGCCTAAAATTTAATAAATTTTAGGCTATTTATTAGAATTTACTTAAATTTTAGATAAAATTCTAAATTTTAAGAATAATAAAAAAATTAAATTTATTAAATTTAAATTTTTGGATACTCAGAACAACATTTTACCAAACTTAAAAAAAAAAAAAAAAAAAAAAAAAAAGCAAATGAAAGGAACAAGGAGGTTGCAAACTGGACTCAAATTTAACAAAAAGCTCATATGAGCTCTCTCTAGATTTAAGTGACACGTGCTCACACTACATGTATTTTCAGTTTTCCTTAAACAACTTTTAATAAGCAAAAACTTTAGATTTTTGTACAGTAATGCTACAAAAAGCTTTTTGTAATACCTCCAACATTTTTAAAACGGTACTTCTGCAGCTAAATTGAAATTTGACACAGAATTTTTTCCTCAATTACATTCAATATTTTCAAAAATTGGTAAAGCACTTACTTGCAAAAGAAGCAGACATTGGTATTTGAACAACTGCTAGATGTTAACCCCCCCCCAAAAAAAAAGATGAAAGAAGGAGGGAAAACTTAGAGGAAAAAACAGCATAATTCTGTACAAATTAAATATATGTGGCATACCATTCTTAAATACTTAAAAACTCATTAAGAATATTTATAAATGATTTATAAATGACAACCAGAAGCTATTTATCAGTATGAGAAAGAACCATATTTCATTCATAACATATACCAACCTCCAGCAGCAGTTTCCATCATAAATAGTGTCTTCCTAACAGTGCACAAGGCTTCTCCTAACACACAAAGAAAAGCAAGATGACTTGGCTCTCCAGATTCTAAAAATAATATAATTTCAGTAAGCCGTATAAATATAAATAAATAACATATAAACAAAAAAAATTAAATATAGTACCTGAAAGATATCGTAATACAGCGCCCTTGGTTTCTTCTGCAAATGAGAGTAAT